ATGATTAGATGATATTCTTGAATCATGAATGATGATATTTTTGAACCATGATTAGATGATATTCTTGAACCATGATTAGATGGTATTCTTGAACCATGATTTGATGATATTCTTGAACCATGATTAGATGATATTCTTGAACCATGATTAGATGATATTCTTGAACCATGACTTGATGATATTCTTAAATTTTTAATAATCAATGATTTTTTTTATATGTAAAACTCTTTGGATTTATCAAAAAATAGACTTGGAGCCTTAACTTTTAACTATAGAGTTACCCACAAAAGATCAGACTTTGAAGACGACCTAAATATCTCAGAATATGTCAATCTTAAGGTTGATTTTGGTCTTCTGCCTGAAATATAGTCGGTTGAAGTTGATATTAATGATTTAGTTCCGAATAAGACGGTTTAATAGTTTTGTTAAAGGGAGTGACCGGCTATGTAAGGTAGTTGAACTGAGTATGCAGTGTTGTGGAAAGCTTCTTTCGGATTCATTTTAGACATACTAAACTTTTTAAAGATCTGTAAATCCTGAGTTTGAGCGCAAATTCGACGTTCAAAACTCCTAGTTTGGGGGTTGATACGTGTTCAGAATTAGTTTTTTTAAATTATTGAATAACCTTACATAGCCGGTCACTCCCTTTAAATAAATTTAAATCTAAACAAAATTCTTAATTTATCTGGTAATTTTGAAAGCAAAAATGACAGACCACATTTTGGAATATATTTGTTGCCAAATTGGATGCCGCGAACTATTACGGAGGTAAAAGAGGACTTTTAAGTCTAAAATCAATTACGCCATTAATTTAACAAAAACCCCGATTAATCTTTAAAAACTCATCCTTCGTGGGTAACCCTGTATATCACTAGATAGATGCACTAAAGTTAAGGAAACAGGGAGCAAAGTAACAGTAGTTAGGTTCAGCTAAAGATACATAATAGATTACTCTTGTACAACAAACTTGTTTCCTTATCAGCATTGCAATAAAAATATCATTGTGCACATGACAATGATACGTACAATGAATCAATGATACAATGAATCAATGATACATAAATACAAATCAACCTTTTTATACAGTTTAGTTGACACAAAGGCAAAACGTAATCTATAAATCATTTATTCATTCAGGAATTTATTTAAAAATTTACTAAAATATTAAACTAATCATTTAAATAAAGCGCTTGACATTTTTCAGTACGTGTCTCTCTCTTAGTCCATAATATTCTTTTATAATGATAAAGTCCGTTATTTACTTCTAGGACGTTTTTTATTAATTACTGCTTCTCTAGTCCTCCTAGAAACCACAGATTATTTAGTCATGACAAAACAATTTGGCGTTTTTTTGTTTAAGTGGGTGACTCTCTTATGATTACTTTTTTTGTGGGTAACCTTTACCATTATTTTTCACTGCATGAATTAAGCTGTTTTAAAATTCGGTGATGGTGATGGGCCAACCTCTGTAGAGTAAAAAAAGTCGATGTAAGTTCTGCATTTTATTGAAAATATATTTTGGGCCATTGGTTGAAATACACGTAAGGATTGATAAATACATAAGTTCCAAAACCAACCTTTTTTTTCTTATCTAAATTATCTATGGAAGGAACCTACTGAGCTTATGCATCTGTGTGTGCACGTGTCTGGGATGAATTGTAAATATATATTCTCCAGATAGGTTTATGGATAGGTAGGTATGCAATTCAACTGTCTGAGTCATAACAAGTCAAACTTGTCCTCTGTACATTTAAACTAGTCTTAGGAATACCAACACTTGTATTCTGTGTTATACCAAAACTTGTATCCTGTGTCATACCAATACTTGTATTCCTTGTTATACCAAAACTTGTATCCTGTGTTATACAGAAAGACTAAGGATAATCGAAGGAAAGGATTAAGGTTTGTGGGTAGGGAAAATCCAAGGAAAGGATTAAGGTTTGTGAGTAAGGATAATCGAAGGAAAGGAGTAAGGTTTGTGAGTAAGGATAATCGAAGGAAAGGATTACGGTTTGTGAGTAAGGATAATCGAAGGAAAGGATTAAGAATTGTGGGTAAGGATAATCGAAGGAAAGGATTAAGGATTGTGAGTAAGGATAATCGAAGGAAAGGATTAAGGTTTGTGGGTAGGGAAAATCGAAGGAAAGGAGTAAGGATTGTGAGTAATGATAATCGAAGGAAAGGATTAAGGTATTAAGGTTTGTTAGTAAGGATAATCTAAGGAAAGGATTAAGGTTTGTAAGTAAGGATAAGCGAAGGAAAAGATTAAGATTTGTGAGTAAGGATAATCGAAGGAAAGGAGTAAGGTTTGTGAGTAAGGATAATCGAAGGAAAGGATTAAGGTTTATGAGTAAGGATAATCGAAGGAAAGGAGTAAGGTTTGTGGGTAAGGATAATCGAAGGAAAGGATTAAAGATTGTGAGTAAGGATAATCGAAGGATAGGATTAAGGATTGTGAGCAAGGATAATCGAAGGAAAGGAGTAAGGTTTGTGAGTAAGGATAATCGAAGGAAAGGATTAAGGGTTGTGAGTAAGGATAATCGAATTAAAGGAGTAAGGATTGTGAGCAAGGATAATCGCAGAAAAGAATTAAGGGTTGTGAGATTGCTCTGGTGGAAGAATGTAGGAGGAGGCTGACATAGATTAATTAAACTACAGAGTCAGCTCTAATCCTCTTTGATCTGTTTCTAGTTATTGTAGATATTTTATCAGTGGTGAGATCCACATCATTTAACTTCATGTTTTAATAAAGCAGTGTCATCAAGCGTTTACAATATATTTATCTAAATAAGGAATAGAGAACATTTTCTTGCTTGTCGTGTTTGATGGACAACCGATTGAAAGATACGAAGTTATGAATGCAAAATTGAAAATTAATTCTGTAAATCTTGAATTTAAATATTTGAATACGATGAAGGTAATTGAACTAAGTACGACTGTTTCAACGACGTCTCCGTATTATATAAAGTTTAATTAAGACAATGAGTTATTTAAAAATTCACAACACGACTCAGCTTAAAAAATTATTTAACTCGAATTTAAACTGAATCTCATTTAAAACTTTTCAACTTGGAATAATTTTATCATTTATTAAATTCTTCTCCTGTCTGTGATATTTATGGTCTGTGATTGGTTGAAAAGTACGCTAGACAACGTGAATATTAGATTGTCAAGACAATGGTTTAGAACCAGTGTTAAAGGCTGAGCATCCAGGCAGGAGATGGATACAAAGATCTTAGGATTTAAATAACGAGATTCTCGGACAGGATATGCTAGAGTATATTCATACAGAGGGATTCAACAAATATTAAAAGTCTTTTATACAGGGTTACCCAAAAAGGATAAGACTTCAGGGACGACTGTACGAATGTTATTCATGGGTCTTTTTTAAAATTTTCTTGTTTTATATTCAATGGATTATTTAACATGATAATTCAGTCGTATCCCTATTCCACAGTTTTATGGGTCACCTGAATATATTTGTAAGTTATTGATGATTTCATTATCGTCTTTACTTTCCCATGTTTTAAGATGATCCCTGTCTAGCGTAAGTATAAAAATCAAACAATGCTTACATTGTTTAGCAAGCTTAAAAAAATTCTTTAAGTTTGGTCCCTAGGGTTTCAATTAGGGTTTCAATCGGAATTCCGTTGCGCGGAATTGCGTGCAATGGTTGCCTCCACTTGTACCATTTCATTGTGCACAATTGCGCTATAATTGCGAAAAAGGAAGCAATTAAATATTCGCGGAATTGCGTGGAACGGAATTGCTTTTCCATCTAAAATCAATATTTTCAACTGTTAGACTTACAAATTTATGCAGTAGATACAAGAATGGAAATATCTCTGTAGATTTAAAAATAATCGAGGCCAAAGTTTTGCAATTGTTTCAATAGTTTTCAAATTTTTAAGTTTCTATTAATTTTCTAGTTAATTAACAATTTAAAATGATACATTTTTGATTCGTTCACATTGGTTGAACATTAAAATGGAAACTTTTCTGGTTAAAATTGTAAGGTTCGTTTAATCAATATTAGATATTTTGCTACAGTGAGAACCAGAAAACTATGGAACAGAAGGACAACATCACAGTGCATTTGATGTCGTTACAAATTAGCAAAAAGCATTAATTGGTATCTTATTAAATCACTTATTCAGTTACAATAGTCTGCTTGAGTCTAAAATGTCGTCTTCCTATGCCAGAGTTTTTTGGTTATCATGCTGCAAATGAATATTATAAAAAATATTAAGCTTAAAATCAATTTTCTTAGCATTTGAGACTAAAATGTTCGTGCAGTTCAGTTTAGTGAATGCCACTACCAAAGTTTAAATTGATTTTTTTGTTGTTGAAAGGAATTGCACAATAATTAAAGGTATAAATTCAATATTATCGAAAAGTTGAAACACAAACGCAAGAAAGTTGGACGGAATTGCACGCAATTCCGCGCAATTCCGTTGCGTTTATTGCGCGCAAGGGCTTGCAAGTAAAATCCACTTGCGTTGGAAACACTAGTTTCAATAACAATGTTTGTGTAGTTCTAAATCTAAAGACTGTTAAATTCTGTGATCAAAAATCAGTCAAGAAATCACCATTTTCTGATGTTCGCTCTTGTGCAATGCACAATGTACAAATGTATACCAATATGTACATAGATAAATAATAATGTAATAAAATCATATGATAAAACAGTAAAATTGAATATTATATATTATTGTTAAGAAGTATTGTTTGAGTTAGTTAGTTAAAAAGGAAAATAGGGCACACCAAAATGTTAGAGTCCAGCATCCCATTTTTATCGAGCCCCCCGCCTCCCCCCATTGTTTATTCATGCACTGTCTTGATGTGCAAACTCACATTCTGGAGCGCCTTCTCCCTCTCCTCCAACCTAGTGTTAGAGTTCTCTAGTTGGCTAGTTGTGCTGGTCAACTCATTCTCTAATTGTATAATCTTCTTCTCGAGGGCTTCAACCTCCTCCTTGGCCTGAACAAATCAATACTTACATTCTGTAGAGCTTTTTCCTTCTCTTCCAGTCTCTGGTTTGCATTCATCAGCTTCTCCTGGGTCTGATCCAGGTCGTTCTCCAGCTGCTGCATCTTCTTCTGCAGCTCCCTCACCTCCTCCTCAGCCTAGGTATACAGAGGTACGGTTAGTATATTGTATAAGGGTACCATTAGAGTATACCGGGGTACCTACTTCCTGCAGATACTCTTAGTACAGTGTTAACCAGAAAACTCTGAAATAAGAAGACGACTTTTAGACTCAAATTATTACTTTTTATAGTCTAATGAGCATATGGTACACATAAATTGTGCAGTGTATACAGACCCATTTCACTTAAGTAATGATTTAAAAAGTGTCTCGTAAAACTATTTGCTTTTTAATATCATCCATTATACTTAAGTATTAAGCTTTTAAGTCGTCTTCCTTTTTCAAAGTTTTCTGGCTATCACTGTATAAAGGGGTACCTAGAGAGTATATTTAAAATTCGGTGATGGTGATGGACCAAACCTCTGTAGAGTAAAAAAGTAGATGTTAGTTCCACATTAATTTTAGAGAGTATATTGGGGTACCTACTACGTATGAGACACTTTTAGTGTAAAGAGAAACCTAGAGAGTATATTGGGGTACCTACGTCCTACTACTGTCAGTATACTGGGTACCAAGAGGTACTTTTAGTATAAAGGGGTACTTAGAGAGTATATTAAGGATAATAAGGTACCATGGCTCCAGAGGTACGCTCATTATAAAGGATGTGATCTTTACAATATATTGGGGTACCTATAGAGCCTCAGTAAATACCTAGAGATGCAAGATAACTGGAAATATTCACATAAGTTTGAGGTACTTAAAGATACCCAGAGTACACAGAGATACACTTATTATATGGGTGGACATAAACAATAGTCAGCATATTGGGGTTCCTTGTACCTTGTACATAAAATAAATCAAGATTCAAGCATTTTTAAACTTATAAGTTTTAAAAAGTCATGCACTCTATAGTTAAATTTAAATGTTGCAATCAGAACTTTGATTGCAGGTTTGAATTTAGGAACTGCAATTATAGTTTGATGCATAATTGCATTGGAAATGGCATTTAACAATTCTTTGAAGAATGCAATCATAGTTCAAAAGTGAATTTAGGATGAAATCATGGTTTTATGCACTTTTCATATCATAAAATTTTACTGTGGCATCAGGTTGCATTTAAGGGTTGCACTTAAATATAAACTGCATTGGGGTTGCATCTATAAATTCTTTAAAGAATGCAATCATAGTTCAAAGTTAAATTTAAGGATGGAACATGGTTTAATGCTGGATTGCACTTTTCATATCATTAAGTTTTTACTGTGGCATCAGGTTGCATTTGAGGGTTGCACTTAAATATTAACACAGGGGTTGCATTTATAAATTCTTTTTCAAAGTTGAATTCCAGGATGTAATCATAGTTTTGTGTATGAATGCAGTTTGATTTCAGAGTTTTACTGTGGCGTGTTGCATCAAATGTTTCATTAAAAGCTTGCACTTTAATATTTATACTTTAAGAGTTTAAGCAAGGAAAAGATATTTTTACTGCTTTATTATTTTTTACATTAATTAATATTTCTTTATTTTATTCATTTAAATTTTGATTGAAGGCAAAATAATTTTTTAATTGGGCTAAACTGTTAATGAAACAAACGAACAAATAGGTAGAAAGAAATTGAGTAGATAAGTATTATGTAGTGAGCGAATTCGTTTACAAATGAATGGGCGAATGGTTTAATTTAGAAGAATAGGTGAATATGTAAAAAAGTGAAATAATATGCTTAAATAGTTGAATAGATGAGTAGATGAATAGGTAGATAGGTAAATATGTGAATAGATGAGCAGATGAATAGGTAAATGGGTGAATAAGTGAATAGTTAAATAGGTAAATAGGTGAATAAGTGAATTGTCAAACAGATGAATAGGTGAATAGGTGAATAGGTGAATAGATGAATAGGTAAATAGGTGAATAGGTGAATAGGTGAATAGGTGAATAGGTGAATAGGTGAATAGGTGAATAGGTGAATAGGTGAATAGGTGAATAGGTGAATAGGTGAATAGGTGAATAAGTGAATAGATGAATTGGTAAATATGTGAATAAGTGAATAGATGAATAGGTGAATAGGTGAATAAGTGAATAGATGAATAGGTGAATAGGTGAATGTCTGAATTGATAGATAGATTAGGTGGAAGGACGCATGTTTCCTGGTTGTGGACCCGCCGCATCTAAAGCTAGGGTTGCGTCGGTTAAAATTAAATAATTTCGAAATTAAACTGTACGAAAACTGTAAATATAGAACTACAATTATTTACAACAAATTTTTAAAAATCATGAAAAAAAATTTGATTTTTAGAAAAAAATTTAAAAGTTATAAAAATTTCATCTTTGTAAAATGAATGATGTTATTGTGAAGGTTTCGATCAAAGCCTAGTCGGAGTGTCACTTTTAAGATTTTTATCCGAATCAACTGTGGGGGGGGGGGGGGTTAACAAGAAGGGGGGTTCATCAGATTAAATGTATGTATGAAGGGGCATTTTATAAAATCCAGTAAAAACCCTTGTTTTTGTTTTCTGTCCATTTGAGATGATTAAAATGTTCTGAAAATTGACTGCGTAATTTCAATTGTTTCAAATGCTTTATCTAATTGTTTCAAATGCTCTAATTAGAGCAAAACTGATTCACAATAATTCCAAAGAGCTTTTGTTCTTTTAGATTTTCTATGATTCAAGATTACATGATTAGGTTGCAAAGATATAGGGATTAGAAAATCAAAATCTGTGTCAAAGAAAAACAAGAAAGAAATTGACAGAATCTATTAATGTTAAAAATGTAAAGGCGATATTATCCTCATTATTAAACAATAAAGGTGTAAATTGTAAATCGCTGCACATCTAACTCTTTAAATGGAGGGTCTCTTGAAATTACGCGTACAGTTCCTTTAAAGGGACAGACCGCCTATGTAAGGTAGTTAAACTGAGTATGCAGTGTTGTGGACAAATTCTTTAGGATTCATTTGAGATATATAAAACGTTTCCACGATTTATTATTCCTGAGTTTGAGTGCATAGTCGACGTTCAAAATCATGAATTTGGGTGGGTACTGTAACATTTAATCCCTTGATATCGTTACAATCCCAGACATAAATCCAAGGGAAATCAAGATCAATCGTTGTCCCCCATCATTTGAGGGTTAATACAAGACTTCACTTTCATTCCCAGTACCAGTTCATAATTCACCCAAACCTCTCTTCTTGTGTATAATATCTATCTCTCAAGGTCTTTAATAAGTGGGTGGTTTAACATTACATATTTTATTGGTACAAATATATCTGTTAATATCTATTTACATTAGATCATATTCCTTATATATGAAGAGTCCCTCAGCGGTTAAGCAAGTCTCCACTAACTCTTATATATAAAGAGTCCCTCAGCGGTTAAGCAAGTCTCCACTAACTCTTATATATAAAGAGTCCCTCAGCGGTTAAGCAAGTCTCCACTAACTCTTATATATGAAGAGTCCCTCAGCGGTTAAGCAAGTCTCCACTAACTCTTATATATGAAGAGTCCCTCAGCGGTTAAGCAAGTCTCCACTAACTCTTATATATGAAGAGTCCCTCAGCGGTTAAGCAAGTCTCCATCCTAGCTCTCCACGAATCTGCCCCTGATCTCTAGAACCTGGGAGTCTGTGGGTAGTTGAACCAGCTGTATATAGGTGAGACTACATTTCTCTGATTCTCTTGTCTGTTCTGTAGCTCTAGTGATCTTCTGAGACTCCAGTGTTTCTAATCATAGAAACACCAGGAATGTTAGAGTGTGTGGGTAGTTGGACTAGCTGTGTTGAGGTGGAACCACACATCTCTGATTTTACTGTAAACTTGAGATATCTATCTCATCAATGATTTATTGTATTCCTGAAGATATGATCATGTAAGATATAATCGTGTAAGTCCACATGTTGTAATCCTTCTGAGAGCTGTCCATGAAGTGCCCGTCCCCTAGCCTTTGGTTGAACAAACGGAGCTTAACTCATACGTCTGTTCGGTTCAAAGGTCTAGGGGGCACTGATCAATCTTAATGAATCCGCTCAGGTTAATTCTTCTGCATTGTTGAAAGAACAAAGACATGAAGGTGTGAGGCCAGGGAGGGTTTTCTTGCCATGAGTCATCCATACTTTAAATATTACAGTACGTTTTCAGAATCAGTTTGTTTTAATTATTAAATAACAACGACGAAAAATATAGTAAAAATTCTAAAGTAAACTAATTAAATGTTTAGGAACATATTTCTCAAAAGAAATTTGTCAATAAATCGAAGTTAGAATTAATTATTTCCTTTTTCATTATTATATTGAATTTCTTATTTTCTATGAATTTATTCGCAGATTTCTTCAAATTCTTCAAATGTCGTCTTTTTAATAAAAATTCCAGAAAATCTTTGTGATTAAAGAGAGTTTATAGAAACTAATAATTGAATAAGATTACTTATTTCCGATGATAAGAGTTAATTTTTATTTTCTCAACCTGTTCCTAAACAACTAAAATTACGTTTTTGAACTTCGACTTTGCGCTCAAACTCAGGATTTACAGATCTTTAAAAAGTTTTATATGTCTCAAATGAATCCTAAAGAATTTGTCCACAACACTGCATACTCAGTTTAACTACCTTACATAGCCGGTCTGTCCCTTTCAGACACAACGTGTTTTATGTTTAGAATACCGTGATGGTCATAAACTATTTTTTCAATCCTTCAATGGTTTGCATAAACATTAGATTTTTATCAGAATAGTTTTGAAATGTACAGGCTCCATATATATACATAGTGCATCATGTATTCAACATTTAACAATATAAAGGTTAGCTGTTGTACCCCTAGCTACTGTCATGTACAGGGTAGCACACAAAGGATGAGACTTAAATTCGACCTAGAAGGTTGATTGGTCATCCTATGTATATATTATATATATTATATATAATATATATATGTATATATTATATATATTTGTACTGTACAGAGTTTGATTTTAAAGTAAACTTAACAAACATAGGAGGAACCATGCATTGAAACACCACACGAGGGAAATTTACCCAAATTATTCTCAGAATTAAGAAACAAACTATGTAAATATTCATTGGGCAAGAAGTCAGGGTAAAAATGTACATTCATCCATGGACTGTTCAAAAAAATGAAATAGGAAAAAAATATTTTGCGGATTTTTCATGGTTTTACTTGTTGCATGTAACATACCATATACCATAAACGATTTGAGAGAAAGAACCTTAAACAAGAAAGTATATAAAACCATGAATCAAAAACAAAAAAAGAATATTAAACCAGAAACCATAAAATTGAAAGGATATAAAACCATGAATTATGAACAAGAAAGGAAATATAACCATGAATTATAAACAAGAAAGGAAATATAACCATGAATCATGAACAAGAAAGGAAATATAACCATGAATCATAAACAAGAAAGGAAATATAATTATAATTTATGAACAAGAAAGGAAATATAACCATGGATCATGAACATGAAAGGATATAAAACCATGAATCATAAACAATAAAGGAAATATAATCATGAATCATAAACAAGAAAGGATATAAAACCATGAATCATGAACAAGAAAGGAAATATAACCAGGAATCATGAACAAGAAAGGAAATATAACCATGAATCATAAACAATAAAGGAAATATAACCATGAATCATAAACAAGAAAGGATATAAAACCATGAATCATAAACAATAAAGGAAATATAATTGTGATTTATGAACAAGAAAGGAAATATAACCATGAATCATTAACAAGAAAGGAAATATAACCATGAATCATGAACAATAAAGGAAATATAACCATGAATCATGAAAAAGAAAGGATATAAACCCATGAATCATGAACAAGAAAGGAAATAAAACCATGGATCATAAACAATAAAGGAAATATAATTATGATTTATGAACAAGAAAGGAAATATAACCATGAATCATGAACAAGAAAGGAAATATAACCATGAATCATAAACAAGAAAGGAAATATAACCATGAAGTTAACGAGACAAGATAAAACCACATATAAAAAAAAGGAGAAATCAAGCAAGCAAGGGTGGATTTCAAAACAGTTTTCTTAAAAATACCGAGGATTGATAATGATAATGATATACATCATGCATGCAAGGGTTTCAAGGGTTGATAGAAAATGCATGCCTAGAAGGGTTGACTCTACCTATATCCTGAATCCTCCGGGGCAAACTGACGATTCATCGATCAGGCATTAATATAAAGAAAAGTTTTTTTAAACTCTTAAAATCCTCATATTTAAGTTTCTAAAGTTTCTATAAACTATAAGACTATAGACCCCTCTATACTCCCATAATCCCCTTGGTTTAATATCTTTTTGAACCACAATCATCCAAATTAATGATCTTCATTGACCATTCCCCAGAACCCCTATTATCTCTTTAAACCCTTCTAATTCCTCGAAACCCCTATTATCTCGTTCAATCATTAATGAAATACTCTGAACCCTATTATCTCCCTTAGTTCATATTATCTTTCTTGAGCTTCTATTTTTACTCTGAGCTTACCCTTTCAGCTCTAAGATTACCGTCCTTAGCCTTATTATCTTATTTGAACTCTTAATAACCCCCCTGTGCCCTGATTATCCTTAGAGCTTACCTTTCCGCTCTGATATTAGCATTCTAAGCCCTATTATCCCCTTAGAGCTTTTAATATCCCTTAAGCTTACCCTAAGCTCTAAGATTAGCGCTTTTAGCCCTTATGAGCTTTTATCATCCCTCCTTAGCTATTATTATCTCCCAAAGCCCTAATTATCCCTTAAGGTTACCCTTTCAGCTCTCTGAGATTAGCGTCTTTGCCCCTATGAGCTCTTATTATCCTTCCTTATCTCCTAAAGCACTAATTATTCCTTAAGCTTACCCTTTCAGCTCTGAGATTAGCGTCTTTAGCTTGTTGTTCACAAGCATCAGCTCTATCCATAGCATTATCCTTCTCAAGCTTCATCGCCTGCATCTTCTTCTTGATAGCGTCCATTCTAGGATAATAATGATAATATTATTAATGGTTATAGATAAATTTATTAGATTGACGTTGATAATAATTAATGAAATTTTTCTTTACCGAGAGTTCCCATAAGAAATTTTGCCTAAAAAACATCCAGAGCGCAGCGAGGGATGATTTTAGACAAAATTGGTCTAGGAAACCCGTGGTTAAGTAAAATTTTTAATTTCCAGAAAAAGTAGTGGTACTCAATTTTATCGTCTTTTGAGAGTGGGTAGTTATTTTACATAACTGTCCCAAGGGACGTTAAGTAACTTAACCTTCCTAGCTGTTGGGGAAACCATTGGCCGGTAATGTTGGTCAAAAGGAGGTGAAAGTTATAATGATAATAAAAATAATAATAATTATAATAATAATTATAATAATAATAATGATAATAATAATAGTAATAATAATATTAATATCAATAATAACAAAACTGATAATAATAATCACAATTAATAAGTTATTTTAAAAATCACTCAAATATTACTAATAAACTGAAACTGCATTAATTTAAGGCACAATTCACCAACATTTTTAAGGATATAGAAAAAAACCTTATATTGTTTATTATTTAGTTAATTTATTAAAATATGATTGTTTTTAGATGTTTAACAAATAAACTGTGTTTGTAAAAGTTTAAGTTGAGTTTAGTTCACCCTGACTTTGAAATAATTATTCTGCACCACACTTAGGTGACCACAGAGGATTAAATTAAGTTTATATAGCTCTGAACTAGGATTTGCAGCAAACGAAAACTTTCGCGAAAAAATGCGAAATTTTGCGAATATTTTTTTTCGTATTACGCAAACTTTCGAAAAGATCGAAAACGATGAGAAATTTCGTGAAAACAAAACAAAATATGCGACAATTTCGCTTATTTTCACAAAATATTTAACGCGAAATTTGTTTTTAAGAAACGAAATAGGAAAAAATAATTATAAAAATAATGAGCACTACGTCGTTTTGGCAATACATGGACACATTTGTTTATAAACAGTTAAGTTCAAATATAAAGAGACATCGGAAGAATTTATAACTGATTCTTTGCAGCTGTTTAAAACTGTTCCCGCATATTCATCGCTATTTTCTAAAATTTTTTTGCAATTACAGAGATTTACGTAAATAGCATAAAACCCATTGAAAAATTGACAAGACGACATCTCAAACAGTTTTTCGATGTCTCAAAACTTTTGGGGGAAACTGCATAACTTTGCATTAGCACAAATTAAAATTGCAAACTGAATTTATATTTCATTATATTGTGAAAATAAATTAAAATGTATGATTAAACAACTTTAATATGCCAGTATAAAAACTTCAAGATTCAATAGATTAACACATATGATAAATGTCGTCTTTCTTTCAATGAAATCAGAAATCTACATTTTTTAGGTTAAAATGATTAAGCTATTAATGTAAACGGGTATTTTAGAGTAAATTTAAAAGTTATTTAGAGTGTGATTAAATTTTTGATTCTTTTTACAGTGAGACCCATACAACTTTGGAAAAGGAAGACGGCATTAAATCTGATAATTTTATCAGTTGCTTGAAAATAAACTTGGAAAAGTAAAATGTGTACTCTGCACAGTTGGTGTGCCACAGGTTCACTAGAATATTCTTTCTCTTTATGATAAAGCTCTTTTTTATTATTATTTATATGTTCGCATGGAACAAACGGCTGGAACAAATTGGCCAACATTTTAGGGAACCCATGGGGGGGGGGGGTGAAATAGGCCAAAATTGTTTTGATTTTTTAAAATAAAGCAATAAAGCTAATATCATAATTTTAGACCAAGCGCGGGTAAACGGCGGGCAGTACCTATGAGTTACCTGGGCAACGCCGGGTACTTTAGCTAGATTCATATATGGTTAAATCATATAATAAATCATATCTGAAGACTCACAGTCGTCTTCTATTTGCACAGTTGTATAGGTCTCAATGTCTGATTCACAACAGTACTCTTTAAACCTTTGTCTGATCAAGATATTATATAAGAGACAAGAAAGCATAGAGAATAGAATATATAGAGAGGAATTAAAAGAATCTCTCGGTATGAATTTTTTCATTCCCTTTCAGCCTGAAAGGGAGTTCAAAGTGTACAAATCATGTAAATGTTCACAAATTATATGCAGTAGAGTACATTAATACAGTATGTTCTCTAGACTATCCATTTCAATTTCGAATTTTTTAAACTGTTAAATAAACTTTATAATGAATTAGGTGAATAAAAACATCATTTGATTTATAGTTATAACGGAAAATCATCGTTTGTAAAGTGGAAGGCATAGAGTCTATGTGAAATGATCATTGGTCAATTATGAAACCAGCCTATTTCATAATTTGGTTTTCTTTTAACAATAATTTTAGATTTTCTATAAAATGATATTCCAGGGCCCAACAGGTTATATAGCATAAATATGTGAAGTACACCTGCAGTATGGAAACAGTACAACAAAATGGCCGTTTTACACTTTTTTCCAGTAAATTCCTCTCTATATATTCTATTCTCTATGCAAGAAAGGTAAGTTTTACAATATACAAAGGAAAAGGACAAAATCTTCCTCATTGTTATTGAGTTTGAGGCAACGAGGTTATAGTGTATAGAGTGATGATGTACGCTAATCCTTTACTAATTGCATAGGCCATCAACTATACCAAGAGCGTACTGTATATATTTTTATTATAAGGAGATTCTGGCATAAACTGTAGTATCAATATTAGTAAACAGTTGTAAGTGTACAGTACAGCTAACTGAGCACACAGGTAGCTATGAGGTTTGAGGTTTTAAGGTTGCCATTGTGAATTCTGATATTGAGGATCCCTTAACATTAAGGGTATAGTCCCTTAAAACTAAATGTACTTTATTCTCTTTATAACCATACCTGGGGTTCTTGGGGTCTTCCTTAGGAGATAAAACTGATGTAGCTCGACTTCACCTAAACGATAATTCGTTTTTAATATTCTTAAAAGCGATTATCTCATCAATTTCATCATACAGGGTGTCCTACGAAAAACGACAGTTTTGAGACGATCCGAAGATTTTTTAAATAATTTGAGACATTTTTTGTCATCCTAATTTTGAAACTAAAATTCCTAGATTAGTAATCAAAATTACCCATATTCCTGATGACATTTCCACTTTTTTATTTTTTATTTTTTTTGTGCTTTAAAAACTATCGAAGAAAATTGCATACAGTTTTATGTGAAGACGACAGATAATAATGAGAAACACAGGTAAAATCCATTTTTTTCTTTCATAAAATGTCTTCGTAACAAAGATGGCGTTTGAAAAAGTCTTTCATGAATAGTTTGTATCTAACATTCTACTTAAATATCTGGCCAGTTTCTTTAATTGGAGAAAATAAAAAAAAATCATTTTTTGATCAAAAAAAACTCTAGCCTGGAGTATGGATGCAATTAATCTGCATGCAATAAGAATACAGGGATACCCACAAAGGATGCGACTTTAGAGACGATTGTACAGAATTTGTTTAGTCCGTTTTCTTACATTGAGTGCAGAAACCAAAAATTAAGCTTCAAATCGTCATAGTTTTAGAGTTTTTGGGTCGTCTTTACAGTCTCATCATTTGATGGTAATCCTGTATAGTCCATGATTCTATAATTAAACAGATTCTCCGTATGTTGTAATACTNGGGTAAATGAAGGAATCGAGGCTAAAACCAGGAATTTGCATATTCAGCAGTTTATCTCATGCCTAAACCTGCTTTCAGGCCAAAACTATAAGTTAAGCTTCATCGCCCGAATCTGCAGATTTGAGTTCCCGAATCAAATAACATTTTCATTAACTTTATACTTTTCTAAAAATTATACAATTCCGGTCGGATCGGAATTAATGAGAAAATATTAGTAGTTGAGCTCTATATGAACGGAAAGCTGAATTATTTACTATTGTATTGTATTGTTGGTGTGTGCACTAGAAGTATAGCATTACCTGGTTCAACTACTTTTCCCGTTCATTAATGTAAAACAGAACTCAAATGCTTCTTGAAAGCATTTCAAAGCAGTTCTCATTGATAAAAATAGGTGAGAATTTCAACTCATTTGAACCGATTCAAATTAGTTTCCCTTTCAAAACTTAAAATTCAAGGACTAATATAACTCAAGGACTGATAGTAAATATATCTAAACTCCCCTTCCCTCTAGATACGAGTAAACAGAGACTTGGGCTCTTTCCCGGATGACGTCATTTTGTAAAGGGCATATAGTGTAATCTATTTATAGAGAAATAGATAGGTGACTTAGATTTTAGATAGGTGACTTGGATTCTAGATAGGTGACTTGGATTCTAGATAGGTGACCTGGATTCTAGATAGGTGACTTGGATTCTAACTAGGGGACTTAGATTCTAGATAGGTGTCTTGGATTCTAGATAGGTGACTTGGATTCTAGATAGGTGACTTAGATTATATAAGGTGACTTGGATTCTAGATAGGCGACTTGGATTCTAGATAGGTGATATTGATTCTATACAGGTGACTTAGATTCTATTTAAAGATAAGTGACTTATATTCTAGATAGGTGACTTATGTTCGATCTAGATAGGTGACTTGGATTTAGATAGGTGACTTATTTTCTATTTAGGTGACTTATATTCTAGATAGGTGACTTTGGTTCGATCTAGATAGGTGACTCAGATTTACATAGGTGACTTGGATTCTAAACAGATGACTTGGATTCTAGATAGGTGACTTAGATGGAGGCTGTCTAAACAATTGATAAATAACTTAGCTAGTTTTCCTGGGATCAGTGTGTATAAGATGATGTTACCTGTGCTGTGTGTAGCAGATGAGTGTATATGCTAGATCAGCAAGGAGGGAGCCAGGAGAAGGAGTCGGAGCCAGGAGACCAGGATCCGGCCTCCTTTAGGAGATATCATCCTTTCCTAGCCTTCAAACATACTCCCCCCTTCTCTCCCTTCCTTCAAACATGCCCCCCCCATCATTCCTGTCTTAAAATATGGCCCTTATCCCCCCCTTTTTCTTCTTTTCCAATGGCCCTTCCCCTCCTTTAAACATACCCCCTCCCCCTTTTTCAATCTCCACATTTAGGCCTATTTAGTTCCTTCTTTTGAATATATTATATTATATCATTTTCATTTCCACCTTTTGCCACTTTTTTTCAAGTTCATTTTTTGTCATTTTTTTTCAATTGCTCAAATTTTTTTTTTAATTGAATCTTATCTTAAGTACTTTACCGTCTAATTAAAAACATAATTGACCCATGATTTCTCTAATTTTATGCTATAGCGGGATGTTATAAGATTACGTAGACGCCCATGGGACAACTAAATAAAATAGCATCCCAAACTCCGAATTTTTTTAAAACTACTTTTCAAAAACTTTTTTGCAGAACCATTTTAGCCAGAAGTCATTCTCTGAAACGGGATCTTTAAGATAAATTTTTTTTAAAACGAGAGTTTTAAAATATAAAATAAAAATATTTTGTCAAGGGCTCAAATAATCATTTTTATAAAACCCAGTACTTTCTTGAATATTCTAAAATCTAATAAATATGATGTATAAAGTCTATGGTCAGTATATTCTGTACTCTGTAGTAGATCCAATGAATTTTATTTGATCCCGGGATAACATCTAATATCCTCAATTTTATCTTTATCCTCACATTCTTAGGTTTTTATTAACTTGGGGCAAGCAAGGACAAAAATAGATCTTTTTTGTACTTTCTCCAACCATACACCATTTCTGTTTTTGAATCGACTTTCATATGTTTCATTTTTATTTAGAAAGTGCTGGCGTTGCCCGTGGAATCTTAAAATATGTCAAACACTCGGCAGAAAACCTCTGGCGTCGAAGCGGTCAATCTGCGCATGAGGGTCATTGCAAATTCATCCTTGTTACTTATTTGGAGGAGGGGGGATGGAACATTTTGATTTTTTAAAGTGATATTGTTTATTCGGCTATTTACAACATTAACATACATATTATTCACATTACACACACAATTTTGAGGCATCTCTGTTTTTTTTTATATGACACAGACACATTACGGGTATACTTATAAAATATATTACATTTCATGTTTCTTTTTTGTTTTATCTCATGTGTTTTAGATGTTTGATCTGTTCTTGAAATTTATTAAAATTAATAGTATATTTCATTAATTCAAATTTGATTGAGTCACACAAAATTTGTGTAAATACTTGCTGACCTTTCATTGCATTCCCCTGAGCCTATATTTAGAGAGAGGGATGGATACGGAGTAAGAGTAGGAAGATTGAGTAGTAGTAGTAGGACAGAGAGGATAGAAAATGATTTCTGCTTTCACTTTTATTCTTGTAAGCCTGAATTAGAGCCTTTAGGGCTTTCCCTGGACCCTTGCCAAGTTCGTTTACTCCACTCTACCGTTACACGGTCCTTTTTGGCATTCATTCAATTTAACAGAATCATACTTTTTATTTTAAAACCTTGTTATTCTTCGAACAACAGATAGGATTAACAATTGATTCAAACATTATACAATATTTTGATTATTTTGAAATTAAGATTTTTTAATCTCCGAACTTTTGTCGCAATCCAAGCACCTTTTTTTTGCCCCTCAAAGCCACCTTATTATTTAGCCTTTCGACTCACTATACAATTGTAAGCAATCTTTCTATTTTAGATCTGTTCTCGTCAGGGCATGAAAGAATTTTTGAATTTTAGTTTATTTTTATTAACAAATAGTGTTTAGTCCAATGAGAACTAGAAAACAATGGGATAGGAAGACGACATTAATACGATACTTAAGTGTATATCTTGTTACAAAGCAAATAGTTTTATGTAAGATACTCTTATAAAATCACTTGTTAAGTGAAATGAGTCTGGTTACAACGCTCAATTGCTGTGTCTCATGTTTAATGAATTATTTAAAGTCATACCTGTTGGTCGTCTCCCTATTTCAGAGTTTTCTGGTTATCACTGTATGATGAGAAAACGTTAAAAAATATGTTTGATGGGTCAAATCGTGATCAAAGAACTGTTGAATCAGCGTGAGCTTATTTAATTATTTAAAATTTCTGAAAGTCGTCGTAGGTCTTTCAAGTAAAAGACATCATTGTAGTCATTCTAGTCAACATATTCTAGTCGACATATTCTAGTCGACATATTCTAGTCGTTCTAGTCGACATATTCTAGTCTACATATTATAGTCGACATATTCTAGTCAACATATTCTAGTCGACATATTCTAGTAGACATATTCTAGTCGACATATTCTAGTCGACATATTCTAGTCTACATATTCTAGTCTACATATTCTAGTCTACATATTCTAGTCAACATATTCCAGTCAACATATTCTAGTTGACATATTCTAGTCAACATATTCTAGTCAACATATTCTAGTCGACATATTTTAGTCAACATATTCTAGTCGACATATTCGAGTCGACATATTCTAGTCGACATATTCTAGTCGATATTTTTACTGAATTATCATTTCAAAACAATATTTGAATATAAAAGTTTAAAATTTTAGATGTATTTTGTTCATGTCAAAAGTTGGAATCTGTCAAAAACATATGCTTCCAAATAAATTTCTTTTTACAATCTGCCAGTTTATAAATGATGAATGGTATATATGTTTTTAGCTAAAATCTACTATCTCATTATATTTTTACAAAATTACAACAAGAAGTCCGTTTTTTAATCCTTTTTAAAAATTTAAATATTAAATAGTGTAGAACTTTTTATGCAAGAGTTCCAAAACAGAAAAAGTGATGTTATATTAAGATTTTTTAGAAACAACAATTAAAAATAATCAGTTTTCAAAATTTTAAGCATTGATATCTGATTCATTGATATCATTTATATCTGAGTCACTTAAAATCACGCTTACAGTCCCTTAAATCAGGGATTTTAAAAACAAAATTCTTTTTTTTATTTTTTGTCAAGGAATTTTGAAACTATCATGACAGGGAATATGTATGACATAGATTATGTATGACAAGGAATATTCATGACAGGGAATATGTATGATAGGGAATATGCATGATAGTGAACATGTATGACAGGGAATATGTATGACAGGGAATATATATGACAGGGAATATGTATGACAGGTAATATGTATGACAGGGAATATGTATGATAGAGAATATGTATGATAGGGAATATGCATGATAGGGTTTATGTATGACAGGGAACATATACGACAGGGAATGTGTATGCTAGGGAATATGTGATGCAAAGAAGGTTTTGTTTAAGATTGATGATATTTCAACAAGAATGTTTGATGGAGAATATTTGGTCTGGGTTGAGAAGAGAAGATGCTGGAGCTCTGCTGGAGTTTAAACCTCTGCAATGGATCTCAGTGCTTTGCTAAACTCGGAGTAAAGAACATATTGCTTAAGTTCTAACCTACTTACTTACTCTTGCTAAACTCGGAGTAAGGAACGATTGAGTTGTTCTAAACCTTACTCACTTACTCTTTGCTCAACTCAAAGTATAGAACATATTACTTTGGTTCTATCCTAATTTACTTACTCTTTGCTCAACTCGGAGTAAGGAACGATACTGCTTTAGTTATAAACCTTACTAACTTACACGGTATCTGTAAGAAGCCAAATATTTCCTTATTCAATGAATTTTAATGAATTTTAAAAAATGAGTTTAGTGACTGATTTACGCCCTTCATTTACTAATAAGTACATAAAGGACATAAATGAACGAGTCCAAAAGATATTTAAAATGTTGAGTTTGAGTAAATTTTTGATATTCCATAATCAATTTCTTTTACGTACTTTATTTAACAGTTTTCTCCTTAGTTCCTAAATCCTAATAAGTTTTCAAAAACACTCTAGTTGTTGAACCAGCCTAGGGTCAGTTGGCTCTNGATAAACTAACTAGATCTAGGTTTGAATTAAACTCAGTTAATATTTGATCTTTCAATCAAACCAATTAGAAGAATGTGAACTGGAACTTCTAAAGATAAAAAACAAAAGAATCTACAAAATTGAGAGCTTTCTGCCATTTTTACTAGAGCTAGAAACTTTAGCGTGAGATCAAGCATTGATCTCAATATACTCAATGGAGTTCCAACCTCAGGACATTTTAGCATTTTAACATTTTTTTGGAAACATTTTTAAACAAATTTAATGGATCGTATTTGTTGGTACAATGAGCTCGTACCAGTACCAGTACCAGTACCAGTACCAGTACCAGTACCAGTACTAGTACCAGTACCAGTACCAGTACCAGTACCAGTACCAGTACCAGTACCAGTACCAGTAGAAACATTTGGGCATTTGATATGGAGAGATTGACCTTCATTAATTATTTTAATAAAGAAATCGAAGAAATTAAAAAGGTAGAAAGGGGGAATAAGAAACTAAAAAAATATGGAAAAAATACGTTCCTACACAAACCCCCCTCCCCCCCTTGCTAGAACCACCACCTTTATCTGAACCATAACGATAATATACAAGGGAGCACAAGAAAACAAACAAAGAAAAATTGTATTTAAAATTCAAAATAATTAAGACAAAAAGAATTTTAAAAAAGAAAGAAAAAAGATCAATGGGAAAGATGAAGAATGAAAATTATTTTGTAAAAAGGCCATATTTCTCTGAAGTTGTATAGTATTGAAAGCCAGGTATTTAATTAGTTAAAGATTAGTTTTCCGACATTTTCTTTAGTTTTCCCAATTTTTCTTTAGTTTTCCTAAATCTTCATTAGTGTTCCAAATTTTTCTTTAGTTTTCCCAATTTTTTTTATAGTTTTCCGACATTTTCTTTAGTTTTCCCAATTTTTCTTTATGTTTTTCGAAATCTTCTTTAGTTTTCCCAATTT